GGTATGGGAAGAGACCGTCTATCAGGACTACATCGGGCGGCTGCTCCCATGACTTGACTTCCTTGATCGCCTCGACCTGCCAAGAGCAGAATGAGACGAGGGACAGGAGCAGGAGCAGGAGCAGGAGCAGGAGCAGGAGCAGGGGCAGGGGCAGGGGCAGGGGCAGGGGCAGGGGCAGGGGCAGGAAAAGGGTGAGAGGAAAGAGGAGAAGAGGGAGGTGCAGGAGCAGGAGGAAGAGGAGGTGGTGGAGAAGGAGGAGGAAGAGAAGGAGGAAAAGGAAGAGGAGGAGGAGAAGGAGGAGGAGGAGGAGAAGGAAGAGGAGGAGGAGGAGGAGGAGGAGGAGATCGACGACAGCAAGGAGGAAGAGAAATCAGTGAAGATGGTGGTGGTGGTGTGCGGGGAGGGGGGATTCTTACGTAGGTTTTGAATTCTCTCTTTGATCCATCCCACTTACCCGGGGACCCGAAGCTCTCCTTATACTCTTCCTCGATAGGAACACAACGAATCTCGACCTACAGGAGGTATGAGGAGGGGGAGGACGAGAACAGCTGAGACGTGAGGGGAGGAGGGAGGACAAACAGAACGAGGAGGAAGGTGCAGGTGAGCGTGAGGGAGGAGAGGAGATGGGAGCAAGAAGGAGGAAGGAGGAAGGAGGAAGATGAAGGAGGGGAGGGAGAAGGGGGGGCATGAAGGAATGGGGGAAGGTGAGGAGGTGGAAAGGGAGGGGAGGAGGTGGGAAGGAGAAGAGAATGAGGGAAGAAGAGGAAAGGAGGAGGAGGAGGGGAAGAGTTCTATTTGTTGTTCTCACATTAGGAGGAGCGAGCTGTCGCATCTGATTACACCATGCTCCTTCGTGCTCCACTGAAACCCACTTGCCCACGCACTGCCTGTGCGTCTGTCAGTTCTGCTGCTCCTGTCCCTTCCCCTCCTGCCCCCTATGCTCCTGCTCCTGCTCCTGATGCTGCTCCTGCTGCTGCTCCTGCTGCTCCTCCTTTTGCTCTTGCTCCTGCTCTTCTCCTCTTGCACTCCTGCTCCTGCTCCTGCTCCTGCTCCTGCTCCTGCTGTGCGCCCTCCACCCCGGCACCCGAAACCCCTTCCTCGTGTTCCTCAAAGCTTACGAGAAGTAGAGAGTCGAAGTGCCGCTGCCCCATTCCCACACAACTGACTTGGGGCCCTGAGGACAAATGTGAGGGAGACGGAAGAAAGTAGAGAAGAGGCCGCGAGGAGGGAGAAGAGGAGGGAGAATGTGCAACAGGAGGAGGAGGAGGAGGAGGAGGAGGAGGAGGAGGAGGAGGAGGAGGAGGAGGAGGAGGAGGAAGAGGAGGAGGAGGAAGAGGAGGAGGACGGAGGAGGGAGGACGGAGGACGAGGAGGAAAGGACGCAGCAGAGAGACGAGGGGAGAGAGAAGGAGAA